ATTTCTTCATCTTCATTTCATTCATTTGTTTTAGAAATTATTTAAGTGCTGTAAGCCCTGTATTTAAAAATAAATCACTAGAAGAATTCTAAAAGCATTTTCATTTTTCAGGAGTAAGTCTGTATGGCTAATTCATACAATTAATCTTCTATAAAACTGCACTAATTTGATCAGACTACTGGTTTGTTGAAATACTGTGTTAGTATTCAGGTGTTACACGTTGCTGCAGTGTACACATTATAGTGTGCAATACTTAGTTGTTAGTTTTAGCTTGTCCCTTTTATTTTTCCCCATTCATCTGGATATTTAAATATTGATATGAATATAAAAGCTTTACATTAATCTTTTGGGAACATAACAATCCCAGAATTACTGTCAGGCACACTGAAGATTTAAGTAAATTTGAAGTGTTACAAATGGAATAGTTCATTTGACCTTTGGAACAGTTTTTCTGCATTGATTTGCTGCAGCTCTTCTGAGATACACTGGGGAGCTGTCATTCCTGTTTAATAAAACAAAGTTTCTTTAGTATGTACAAATTAACTTGGGCAGTGTGTGTTAAAAAACACTGAGCTTATAACAGGGGTTTCTGGGCTTGATCTAAAGGAGTATGTTCTTTATGCCTATAAAGGGAGTAATGTCCATCGGCCTTACTAGTTTCCTAGCAACCCAAGCAAAGTATTGACGTTGATGACGCTGGCTGTAGGAGAACTTCCTGTAAACATTTGAGTCTAAAGCTGCCCTGTTCTTGTATTCCCAAGGGAAAAAAAAAGAAACACATAGATCTGTACTGGAGGTGCCAGAAATAAACCCTCCATAGCAACCAGAGGAAACAGCATTAAAGACAGCTTGTGTTATTTTCAGTGCGTTTTCAGAAATTTTCTGTTATAAGCGGTAATCAGGATTATCAGCTTAATAAAAATCTGGCGTGCTTTGTATTATCACCACAATAATGCAGTGATGCAAGGTACTTCATTTGCAACCTATATTTATGTGATCTGGTAATATTAAATACCAATACATGACATGAAGTATGTATAATTGCAGTATACATTTATTATAAAATAAAACAAGTGTAACTTATTTTAGATTGTTTTTATATCGCCAGATCAAAGTCAGTCGTTTGACCATCAGCACCAGTGCATTTCATGCATTCCACTCTGAAAGGAATGTCTGGTTTTCTTCCTTGAAGTAGAGGCTTTATTGTTACAGTTTTTGTGAAGAGAGTTGGTCAGTTTGTAATGCTCTACAGTGCATGTCCACCGGCAGCTCATTCGGGGTGTGTTATATTTGGAAATGGCCAGTCTTTATTTGCTTCCTGTGTTTCAGGTTAGGGTGAACACAATGACTACTACAAGATATCGGCCAACGTTGGATTTGGCTCTTGAGCCACTGCTGTCCTGTAAACTGTGTCTTGGAGAATTCCCATTGGAGCAAATGACAACAATCTCACAGTGTCAATGCATCTTCTGTACACTGGTTTGTATGAATTTGCAAACAATTTGGAGTAATTTAAAATAAATTGTCTAGCCCAAGGTTTCCCAACTCATAAGCAGCTCTTCACCAGGGAGAAGAGTTAAATCGATCCAATTAAGTTTTAAGTGGACCAGTTTCTTCTCTCCCCTCAGCCTTCAGCTGTTGCCAATTTAAGGCTGATGTTAGAAAACCTGCTTGAGTCTGCATGCCGAGGTCTAGAGAGGGGAACAAATTAAATAAGGAACCCAGTGAACTGAACAAATACTTCTCTAAATAGTAACTAGGCATGCTTGCAGCTTGTGATCGCTTTGTTAGAGAACTGGTATTTGCCCCTCCAGCAATAGTTTTAAAAAACAGTTTTAAAAGACAGCAGAATTGAGAATTGCACAATTACAATAGGATTTGGAATAAAATAGGTTTATAAACATACATAAATCGTAGTATATTACATAGACTACATATGATACATTAGTGTACTTTCAGATCTTTCAGAAACAGGAATCATAAGATGAAAATAACTTCCTGTTTTGAGGAAGTTGAAAGGGTTAGAAATAATGTACTTCAATAAATGGAAATCCAATTTAACAGCAAAGTAGATTACATTTCCAGTCATTAAATTTAATGTTATGTTTTGCCTATGTGTGTAAACGTGTTTGCTAAATTTAAAGCAGTTTACTATTCCCCACAATGGAACTCAAGCAGTGCCTAACTGAATGATGTTTATTAATGATTGACATAAGCAGGCATTAGCTTGCTCAGGATAATGCGCATATCTGGCTGTGATAACCTTGCTTGAAACACTACTAAACTTTAAAACTGGTTTCTTCATATTAATGTGCAATGTAATAAGAAGTCTAAAGAAGACTGCTACCTTTGTCTTTTGCTTTGTCTTACTTTATTTATCATTTATTTCTTCATTTACAGTCAAAGTTATTTATAGGCTTTTCTCTGGTTTCCCCACAGTGCCTGAAACAGTATGTGGAACTCCTGATCAAAGAGGGCCTAGAAACCGCTATTAGTTGCCCTGATTCTGCCTGCCCAAAGCGAGGACATTTACAAGAAAATGAGGTATTTTCAAGGGGTGACTTCTCTTTCATTCTGTTTAGCATAATGTAATTTCTTTTAATGTCAGATCAAATAAATTATTGTAATAACAACTTCAGATATATCAGATACTAAGAGCAGGACAAACCTGGTCCTGACCTTCATATTCTGATGAAAACAGATCAGGGACAGCTAAAATCTAGAGGGCTCCGTTATCTTAGGATTTCTCCTTGAGGGTTTCTATAAATGAAAAAAAAAATAGTTTTACAGAGATCTGGCTCAAGAATGGTTCCAGTACATAAAACACAGGGTTTAAACTAAACTCCTATGTAACAGATTTTGTGTTGTCTCAGTCAAAAGACTGGGGATTGTTTTCATAACTAAACCCCTAGATATTTTTTCTTTTAAACAGGAAACCTGAAAGAGTGTAGCAAAGGAGTTGCTGTTATTCCAACGAAGCAGATAAAATTAAATAATTTTATATCTGTAACTTCCCTGTACAAGAATGTAAACAAATGTGACTGAGGAGAAAGTTGCATAACAACTAAAAAAGAAGAAAACCTGACAGTTCAGGCATAACCATTTCATTAACAGCACTGAAGATGTTCCTTATTTTAGTTTCAGGTTAACTACATACAGATGCAGCCATTCAAAGTGCGCGGTACAAACCCTATGTCATACTGCGGTACATGATTGGCTGGCCAAAATGACTGACAGGGGCACTCGTGGTGCATTGGTCAGTAGTGGAAAGATTTAATCGTTTAATCTCTTTACTGTGCACGTTTTAATCCGCTTAGTATTGAATATTTATATGGAATTTTACAACTAAAGGGAAATTTTAGTAGCTGAGCATAAAAAGAAGAGGAGCATAATGCATCTGAAGGTCATTAACGATATTAATTTAGGAACATAAACATATTATGTAAACTGTATATTGCTGATATTGGTAGTTTAAAGAAAAAATACACACCAGTATTCCATTTCTCCCTGAACATTTTAAGCATCAAAGTCTTACATGTGGTTATTTTTTAAATGTTTTTACTTGCTCCTGACCATATTACTGTATGTTTATACACTTTGTGAAAATTTATCATTTTAACCTTTTCTGCGAATATGCCCGTTATCGGAGTAAACAAAAGCATACTTTTAGAATTGGATTAATAGGGAATATGATATGGAATCGCGTATCTAAAGAACTTAATAACGATAAGACACAAATGTTTGTTTGGTCGGGAGGGGGGCGAGACCGCTCTTGCCCATCGCTTTTCAATGTATAATGATAAACATGCTGTAACACACAGTTTAAATATAAAAGTCTAAAGAGTATACAACTTGAATTCTTAATTGAATAAAGATCGTCCCTCAGCAGTGATTGGGATTCGAAACCAGGTGTTTTCTGTTGACAGCTCAAATGCTGTACATGAGAGGTTAAGCTTTATTAGCTCCACCAGGCAGTTTTACAAGGTGATTCCGGATACTATTAACATAATCTAATTTGCATATGGTAAACTACGGTATGACGCGAAATTGTATGCAACACACCCAACGCGTTGTACCACAGCGTACCCCGCTCGTTTTGAATGGCTGCATCTGTATAGTTTTGAGAAACCTGTATAATGGGGTTGTGAACTGAACATTGGAAAATCATCAAGGATTTTCAATTGAAAAAGCTTAGGTTCTCCATGCTAAAATATTGGCCAAAAGGTATCTGAAGGAGTGTTAGATAATGTTTAAATCTTTTACCTCAAAGATTGCATCGTTTTAGAAACTACAAGCCGGCGATAATAACAGGATGGTTGAAAATATAGAGTTTGTGAATTATACCTCCATTTGACCCGTCTCTCACTGGTTTGAATGCAGTTAAACATAGAGCTGAAACTCTCATTGAGGTCTTTCATATTGCAGGCAGCATGGCTGGAGTATTATGTAGTGCTCACAGTAAAGCCTAAAACTGGTCACATCAGAATTTGAGATTGAATTGCAGAAACAGGAGATATAGACCTTTTTAAAAAATAGAAGAGCACAGTGCCATGAAACATTCTTAAATTTTTTGCTAGATCTGCTGTGATATGAAGGTTTCTTAGGTGCTGAAACAATTATAAATTTGAACATTATATTGTAAAAGCTCTTTTATGGCTGTTAGGACTCACAGCAATAACCAGTCTGAGGCAGCAAGGTTTAGTGTTGTAGTAGTTCAGGTGGGTAGCTGCGTCAACATGCGTAGGTGGTCAGAAAAGAGGGCCCCAACGGAGAGATCATCCTGTAGGATGGAAAAGTTATCGTTAATGGTCCTGGAGATAGGAAGTTTGTTGGGGTGGTAGGGAAGCACCAAAGGAATGTGGTTGTTGCGGCGGGGTTCCTGATT